TTTCACCATGTTAAAGTGTATACACCCTCATTAGCCATAAGGTTGATTATATAATTTTTATCCCTTAAAAATTTCTGAAATTTTTATTATGGATTATATTATGGTTTACATAATCCGTTTTTAGAAATGTCAGTTTTGTCAAGAACACATAATTTTATAGAAAATGCATTCAAATAATATGCAATATGTTCATATTTCGTGAACATATATATATTTGCAAGCTTATGGCAAACCTCATCTTTAAGGAATATAAAACATTTTTGAATATTACCATATAAATAGTTTTCTTCTAGAACATTGTAATATATTCTTAAAATTTTGAGTTAGTAACTAAGTAGCGGCTACGAAGCCCCACGGGTTCAGCTAGTATATATATATATATAATTTCACCGTTGAATAGAATATAAAATTTTAGTCCGATCACATAATTCGTATTCATTTTAATTTTTTAATGTTTAGTATACGTGTTATGTTTACGTTTAGATCACTTACCGTTTTATGTCATTCATAATATCGAAATTAGGAGAATTTTGAGCAAGGATTTTCGAATATTGGCCGATCATTTCTATCTCTTCTAATAGGACGTGGTCGACACCATTTGTGTTTCTTGGTAAAATATTTTTGGATGTGTATTCATCAAATATGCAATCTATGGTCTTTTCCACTAAACTCTCAATAATAGAAGCAAGTTCATCGTCATCAATGCCAATTGCTGGAAGAATTCTTATCAAATTTTTTTCCGACAGGTGTGCTCTTAATTCCGAATATAGCTTGGTCATTCTTCTATGTACTTCCTTATCATACGCTGAAGAATTTTCGGATGCATTTGATGTTGTAGGATGTCCACTCTGTATCCATATGCAACGTTTTGCAAGTTCTTGGCTCATTAGAACAGTGTTATTGATTTCCTGTTCCACCACAGTTGTTGACATATATGAATCTTTTAGATCATCAGAAAACAAACGTAGCAATGTTTCAAAAAGGACGTTCAGCTCTGATTCCTGCGCCGGTGTCGAATGTTTGCATTGTTCAGTATTTAGTCGGTGGCATGTAGGCTGATAGCAGTTGTCAATTATATACCATTTTTCCAAAAGAATCTTTTCATCGTCATTAGCCGCGGTCAACACTTGCGTGAAATCTTGACTCTCAATAGTTAGAGGAAGCATTGGTGCTCCCAATGAAGATCCTAAGAAAAGAATGGGGATAATGAAGGCTGTCGACGAGTGTCTCGTGATTTCAGAAAGACAATTAGCTGCTTCCTCATGACCTCCTTGTGCCTCCAAGGGACTATGTGCCCATCGATTTGTCTGCATTAATATAGAAAAATTCGATTTATCTGATGTGTCAGTACTGTGGACATCAGAAATAAGGAATTCGAATCCTTTCATGTGACATTTTTTCGTTAGTGATTTTTGTAAACTGTAAATTATGCGCATATATTTTTTGTACGCTGGACTATTATCAGATAATATGTATAGAACAATTTTCTTATTTCTTCCAATAAGGGGTTTTCCCTGAAGTATTGACATATACTTCGGTACTGCTATATTTGCCTCCGACTCATCTGATGACGCTTTATTGTTAGGTGTTGTTGTGAGATCTAAAAAAAAGTTTACTGTTATTCGAAATTTTATGAGTTGTTTTAATGAGACAAGAAAAAAATAAGTGCTCATACTCGTACATGTACCAGTTTGTCGGCATCTTTTTTATAAACCCTTTATTGCATTTTTATTCTTTTTTGGCTTAGTTGTATTATTGAGACAAAAAAGAATAAGTGCTCCTACTCATAAATGTATAGATTTTTTTTCTTTTTTGTTGAGAAAACTCAAGGTGAAGGTAAAATCTTCATTCGCGCATTTTTATTTAAACTCAAACTTTTCCAAGAGTCTATTGCAAAAAAAACCGGAACATCTATTAGAAATCTTTTATATCAATATATATCAATCAATTACAAACAAAAATTTAAAAAGGCCGAATATCCTTTTATGGTAATTTCTTTAAACACGATTTACCGTATGTTATTGTTTGCAACTAAGTTTTTTATGCAATGTACAATAAAAGACTTATCGAGGCTCATTGGTATGATGGAAATATCTATCACTATGCAAAGAAGTGTTAAAGCTCGAATAACTACAAATTATATTCCAAAAAACAAAAAAATTCCAAAAATGTGGGTATGCAATTTTTGCAATTTAAATACTGTGGTAGAACTTCGGCAGGGAATCATCCTCTTCACATTGTTATACCCTTCACCAAACTGTGGTACAGGGTATTATGTCTTTGAGCATATGTTTGTAACAGGCAAAAGGAAACGAGATAGACACATGGTTCCTTTTGAGAATATGCATAGAATCACTTTCTGAGTGGATTTACGCATGTCCGTCCGTCCATGTATTTTTGTGAACAAAGTACAGGTCGCCTTTATGATCCGATTTGAAATTTGGCATAGGTCACTTACTTGGGCCAAGGACGAACCCTATTGAAATTGGAAAAATCGGTTAAGCTCCCATATATATATATATATTCGTCCGATTTCATGTAAATGGTGCACCAAAGTCCCCATATATATTTCGATTTGCACGAAATTTTGCACAGCGTAATGAATTAGGTCTAGAATGATGTGTGTAAAGTTTCATGAAATCGGTTCAGATTTAGATATAGCTTCTATATCTGACCAAATGAAAAATTTAGTATCGGTTTATGTATCATGTTTATGGATCCAATTTCATTTTACTGGTCCTTACTAAATGCGACGTCTGTTAGGATTCATCTGTTGAATATACCCAAAGTGGTGAAGGGAATCATATAGTCGGCCCGTCCGACTTAACTACTTTCCTTACTGGTTGTTTTTGTAAGAGTGTAAAAAGTATTCAGTGATTGTGTTCTTTCATTAAAGAAATTATTTCCAATTCAAGATTCCGCGAAATGTCACTCGGGGGGCACCTTTGAACATGCCCAGTAAACGCCAGTAGAAAACGGTTTGGGTTCGATTTCCCTAAAGTTCAAATGGGTAATTTTCACTATATAGTCTCAAATTATATGTTGTTTTTCTTTATTATGCTATAATAAGTTTTTATCTGATTTTTTAATTTTAGACTATTTTTTAAGCTATTTTTGGACATAATTACTGTAAAAAACAATGCTGTTCAAAAATGCCAAGCTTTGTGACCGTAACAAAATATCTTTTATTTAAAGCTAGCTGACACGGCAAACGTTGTTTTGCTTAAGCAATATTGTTAAGGAATAATTGTAGGCATTTTAGATTTTTTACAAAATTTTAAATTAGGCTTTGAGCAGAATTTAATGGACAACTTATTTTAATATACAATAACAATTGATTGCGGACCAATCTGTATTGCCAAATCCGAATTATAAATATTTTTAAATCGCTTCCAATGATAATTTAAATAGTTTTATTTCTTTATTAAAAAATAAAATTATATAATAAATAATATATGAACTTTAATTATAATAGGTACCATTTTTCAATTTGCAACGATTTAAATAAAAAAACTCATAAAAAATTATGTTCATCTTTACTATCTGTATTTTAGAGTCAAATAATGGGTATTATAGAATACGCAATGAGTTGTTAAATGCAGTACATAAAATTTTGAGTCCCTACATCAAGATCTGATCCGTATAGACAATTTAAAACAAAAAAGATCAGATCCGTATAGACAATTTAAAACAAAAACCAGTAATGAAAGGTCAAAAGTCGGACGGGGCCGACTATATGATACCCTTCACCACTTTGGGAACATACAAGAGATGTTAATATCTACAATATCCTGTATATAGAACAGACATAGAATCTTTGGAGGACCATTGAGATGCAATCGGGCGAAATTAAATGTGCTATCTAGATAGATATTTGAACCAATTGAAAAAATCCCATACACACACCATTTTGAAATCAATGAAAAATTGCAAAGGGCAGACTTGGATTTTTTGGTGTACCATTCGTATGAAATCGAGTAAAGTTATGTATGGGAGCTATATATAAACACAAGGACCTAATTGAGCAACCGTTTCATACACCATTTGTTTGTAGTTATCACTCTATATTCAATTTAATACCCTCTGCCAAATTTCATGTAAATCGAACAAACTAGACCCTTCGGTGCACCATTTACATAAAATCAAACGAAAATATATATAAGACCTATATCAAAATCTGACCTGATGTCAACAAACCATTTTTTCCTCAATTGCATTCGCTATGCAAAATTTTGTCAATCGGACAAATATTGGGAGTTTGGTGTATCATTCACAAAAAATCGGACGAAAGTAAGTCTGGCTACCCTGTCGTGAATGTTCACTAATTTTGTGGTGCTCTGTGCTCGTTTTAAAAAATATTTAATTTTAACAATACAATCTGTGTTTTTGTGGTAACAGTGTTTAAAAGTGTTGTGAAATAATTTTTGTGCATTTTGATCTAATTGGAATTGTGAAATTTAACATATTTTTGCTAATATTAATTAATCTTTTTAATTCTAATTGGCATTTTGTTTCCATTCCCAATTTGTTCCTTTATTTCTTTTTTTTTTATTTTGTTTTGTTATTTTGACATCTCAAAACTAAGTTGCCAAATTTTGTGTTTAATAAGAAATTCAAGGGATAGAAATTCCAGAAAATTTAATAAATTATATTAAAAACAAAAATCAATAATAATAATAATAATTTTTAAAAATGGTTTGTCCTTACGAATTATGTAATATTTCTGTGTCACTTGCTGGTTTTGCCTTAATCAATGGCACGTTAAATGTGCTCGAATTAATGCAAAAGTAGTGGACACAATTAGGGATAATGTTGGTGTCCGTTGGTGCTGTGTTCATTGTCGAAAACTCTCAGCCGACTTTTATAACTTTGTAAAAGACTTGCAGTCGGAGCTTGGTTCGATGAAAAAGGAATTTACATCGTTATCAAAACGTTTTGAGAATTTTTCCAATTTGTTCGAAAATTACCAAGAGCTGGATTAATTTATATCATCGCCGCCTATGTCTGGGCAGAAACGTAAAAGGTCTGCGAAAAAGGCTCCCAATAAAGTCGTGCCTAGTCGCAAACCCACAGTTTCTGTTGGGAATACAGTGCCACAATCACCTTCCGTCAATACCACAGATACAACGGAAACTGATTGTGTCCAGACATATGCTGACATATGCGATAAGGATGTAAATGAAGTGATTAATCCAAAATCTGTGAGTATAAGTAGTGCTAGTCTGGAAAAGACTTCAAAACCTACTCACGGAAATCGGGAATCATCAGTTCAATCATCTAATGCGTCTTCCGTAGCTGTCACTAGCAATTCCCTTCAACCTGGTCAAAGACCATTATCTATGGCTCCCACCATGAAAATGGTATTTGTATCTAGGTTTGCACCATGTACCTCGGCTGAGGATTTAAATTATTATATAAAATCAAAAATCGATGGAAATTTCTGTCTACGTTGTTATAAGCTCCGGTCTGCTTTCTCAGAAAGTAGATCATGTTTTAAAATCGTATGTTTTATCGATTAATTTCGAGAGAATTTTGGCCTGCTAATGCATTTGTAAAGGAATTTTTGGAAAGATCTGAAAATGTAGCTCATTGCCTCAGAGGGTTGAAATATTGCCAAAAACTAAATAAAATGTTTGCTATCAGAATGTAAGAGGGTTAAACACAAACTTAACTCGATTATTCTCTGATAGCCTTGGTTTTAATTATGATGTTATAATGTTTTCTGGTGGCGTCCTTATTGCAGTTGATGCCAAATATTTCACTAATTTAATTGAATTAAACTGTTTTGATATCGTATTTGCATCTAGCATTTGTGCATTATACGCAATATTTTGTAATAATTAAAATACCTCCAGTATGTACTCCCGAAGATAACTACCATCCTACATTATACATATCCATGATGAATAATAATTTAGCTACCAAAAATTCTTCAATGTCATTTAAATCTGTTCCTAATTATAATAAAACTGACTTCCGAAAGCTAAACGCACTTATCTCAACCGTAAATTGGAGCTCATTATTTATTTGTAAGAGTCATAGTGATCTAGAATTATCAGTATATAAATTTTATGATATCCTAAATAAATTAATTCTAGAATGTGTTCCCATTGTTAGAGTTAGAAACTCGGAACGATATCCATGGGTCACATCTGAGGTAGGGATACGTAGTCGAGCGCAAAAGTCGACTTTTCGATTTGTGCCTCTGACCAAAAAGTCGATTTTTAGACTTTTCGATTTTTGCCTTTGACTAAAAAGTCGAATTTTCGATCTTTCGATTTTGTCAAACCTGTTCAAAATCGATTTTCGACTTTTACCAACTAAAGCAAAATCGATTAAAAATTTAATTTTTTTATAAGAATTGTTGTCAATAGATGAAAAAAGTTCTGGAATCTGTAATTTTTGGACAATTTCGGCTGTGTGATAATTAGACCTCGGATTTTGCATATTTGCATATTTTTTAATAATGAAGATATCGAAATTCTGATTGGACACAAATTCGTTTCAAAGGATTTAGAATTATTTGAAGGGTTCATATTTTTTTTAATTTTTTGCATATTTGCATATTTTGCATATGCACGAGATATGCAAAAAATATGCAAAATATGCAAAATATATGCAAAATATGCAAAAAATATGCAAAATATGCAACATGTATGCAAAAAATATGCAAAATATGCTAGGTCGATATGCAATAAATATGCAAAATATATGCATAAAATATGCAAAATATATGCTAAAATATGCAAAAAATATGCACGGTATGCTAGGTCGATATGCTATAAATATGCAAAAATATGCAGAATATGCAAAACTATGCAAAATATGGAAAAATATGCAAAATATGCAAAAATATGCAAAATATATGCAAAAAATGCAAAATATGCAAAAAATATGCAAAATATATGCAAACATATGCAAAATATGCAAACATATTTTTTGCATATTTTGCATATTTTTTGCATATTTTGCATATTTTTGCATATTTTGCATATTTTTGCATATTTTGCATATTTTTGCATATTTTTGCATGCATATTTTTTGCATATATTTTGCATATTTTTTGCATATATTTTGCATATTTTTTGCATATTTTTGACATGACCCCAAATATCGATCAATTAAAGCATGAAACGCCTAAATACAAAATTTGAGTCCAATCGGATAAAGCATAAAAAATATGCAAAAATCCGAGGTCTAGTGATAATAAACCAAGAATTTATGAAGAAAATCGAAAGTCGATCTTGAAAAGTCGACTTTGCGATTTTCTCAAAGGTCAAAACTCGACTTCGTCTTTTAGAATTTTCAAAGTCGATTAATCGATTAGTCGAAAATCGATTTACTTATCCCTAATTTTGGCCTTCAAGTATTAAAAATTATAAAAATAAACTTTTTAAAAAATATAAAAAATCAGGCTCCTCTATATATTATGCTAAATATGCTGTCGCAAGGTCTAAATATACGACAGAGTCCCGAAAACTTTACAATCTTTATTTAAACAAGATTAAACATAATTTCAAATCCAATCTTAAATCCTTTTATGACTTTGTTAATATAAAAAGAAAAGCTACGTCAAAGCCATTTTGAAATTCAATAATCAGACATTTGAGAAAAACTCTGAAATTTCAGAGTGCTTTGCAAATTTTTTCGCTACAACATATTCATATTCACCCTGTCCAAATAAAAACACATATAGTTATAAATTATCGACGATGAATCAAATATCTATGTCTTTTTTACAAAGTCAATATGTTTCTAAAAATCTACGTAATTAAGATCAATTAAAAGTCCAGGTCCAGATGGCATTCCTATATAAGGGAAGCTATATCTGAACCGATTTGCTCCAAATTCAATAGGGTTCGTCCTTGGGCCAAATAAGTGACATGTACCAAATTTCATCCAAATTGGATCATAAATGCGACCTGTACTTTGCTCACAAAAATACATGGACGGACCGTCAGACGGACATGTATAAATCGACTCAGAAAGTAATTCTATGCATATTCTGAAAAGGAACCATGGGTCTATCTCTATTCCTTTGCCTGTTACAAACATATGCACAAAGACATAATACCCTGTACCAAAGTGTGGTGAAGAGTATAAAAAAACGCATGATAGTGACATTTTTTAATGAGTTACAGCGCTATATTTGGATGGGAACAAATTTACCACGGTTATTGATCTACTTATAATTTGTTGGTTATTTAACGTAGGGTTAAATAAATGCTATTAGTGCCTGAATTTTAAATTTTTTCTTCACTATTGGCAATTTTTTGTTTATGAAGCGATCTTGTGGAAATGTGCAGGATTAGCAAGAATCATGACTGACTCCAAGTTGGTGTTCACCATGTTGAACAGAGGCAATTATGAGCTATGTAAATACAAAATGCAGTTGTTATTGAAAAACGAAAAAGTTGTGAGGAAACTATTCCAGCGACTACTGATGAAAAGTGGAAAGAGGGTGACACTGAAACAAGAACTTCGTTTGGATTGGCTGTTGAAGAAAGTGAACATCAGGGACGTACACAAGGGGCCAGGGGGCAGAAAAGGGAAAAAACAGGAAAATAATGTTCATAATAACCACAGTAATCAGATAAGGGATGAGACGAATCTTACAATGAAAATATATTATTGGAAGATCATGAGAACATATTAACATAAATTGTTCGGACATAAAGATACACACCGAAGTCGGATAAGTAAATTGTAGGCAACGATTAAGACAGTCTCGACTCCTGTAAGGAAGAACAAAGCAATGCCTGATACATTAAAGGACGTAACGGTGATAAATACGAAGATCTGCGCGATGTATTGTGAAAACTAAGTCACCCAAAACATAAACAATATTAATGGTAATGCTTAAGAACTGGATGAACTGGATGCAGTTATAGTGATAAGAAGCTGCGCACAAAAGTTATGGCGGTTTTAAATCTTGTATTTGAAATATAAATTAAATTAATTCCTATTTGTTGTAATTCAAATATGGTTAAAGACATTTGTTATCTTTGCATACTTATCAAATCATATTGGTGAACCGTTATACTGTTACTGCCCTGAAACTTGAGTCAATGTTAATAATTTGTTTTATTAAATTTATCATTCCGTTTGCAACACCTCGAAATATTCATCGGAGACCCCACAACGAATATATTTTTGATCAGAATAATATTCTATGTCGATTTACGTATGTCCGTCTGTTGAAATCGCGAAGGGATCACAATTTTGGACAAGTTTTCTAACCGTATTGGCTGCTATTGGGCGTTTTGGTTCTCATCGTATAGAACATCTCCGTACCAACAATATATTAATATTGACATTCCAGTAATGAGATTCTTTGAGCTTGAGGTCTTTTGTTAAATTAGTTTATTTATTCAAATATTTCCCGATATTTCGCAATTATCAAATTGCATCTTCAGGGGTGATCTATTTAAGAAAACATACATTTAATATTATTATCACAGCATATTAGTGTAGTCACAAAATTGTTGCTACATATTTTCAAAAAAGAGATTTCTTACATCTACATAATAATAGTCAGGTTTTTCTTAATAGCTAATGTAGTTGTACTACAATTGTCTATAGTTGATATTGCACTGATTATTCCCATGTATTGCACGATCTCTTCCTTGTCAAATGTCGATAACAATATGCTGCATTATTGGTATCGCTTTTATAATTTATTTTTAAGTTGGTTGGTATGTTATTAATATGTAACATCTCCAATGTTAACCTTCTGTTGTAATTGTTCTCTGACTGTAATACCCGTATGTTGTCAAAGTTTAGTATGTGATTATTAAGTTTACAGTGTTCTGCAAGAGCGGTTTTTTTATTGTTCTTATGGTTCCTTAATTTTATGTCTGATTTGTGTCCGTATAATCTTGTTTTAAGTTTGTTTTTCGTGGTACCCACATACATTTTTCCACATTTTTCATCTTTCGATCCATCACATTCAATACGGTATATAACGTTATGTCTATCAGTAATAGGAATTTTACTTTTAGTATTAGTAAATAAGCATTTGAGTGTATTGTTTGTCCTAGTTGCTATCTGCAATTTATCTTTGTCATATAGACCAGAGTTTTGGAATCTTTCAGATATTCCCGGAATATAAATCATTGATTTATACTGCTTTTCTGTTTTCTCCTTTGTCTTTGTCATGTTATAATTGGTTAATAAATTTTCTATTATTACTTTTGGGAAACAGTTTTTGGTCAGTATTTTTCGTATTTTATTTTTATTCTTTTCATGGAGTAGGTTTTTTGGTACCAATCAAGTTCAATGCTGCCATCTATTCTCCTTATAAGCATGTCGAGATACGGGATGGAGCCATTACTTTCTTCTTCCATGGTAAATTTTATGT